CCCAACCTTATGGATTCCACATGCGGTGTGCATGGCCTGTGGTCACCACCCGCCTTCACAGTGCCATTAAGCACAGTGGATACCTGCAAGTCATTGGGGGTCAGACAAACCAGAATGTGAATCCTGACTCTGTCAAGGTCCTAGCTATGGAACCGTGAGCTGAATACCTGATCTCTCCAAGCCTCAGTCCTTTACCCCTAAGATTAGGAGAACCATGCTGTCTGTGTAGGGAGCTAATGACATGAACAGCTCTTCCAAAGGTCCTCACCTATTTTAACTGTTTGAGATATAGTTCTTCTTATTCTCTTGAATAGACCCAATGTTCACATCCTTTAAGAAATTCCCTTGATCAAGTCCTTCTGATGCTTACTGCTTTTGCTGTATCCTCTCAGCAAATGGAAACTTAAAATTTGTATAGTTACAAAGATGAGTTTTTGAGTGAGACAGACTTGTTTTTTAATTCTGGTTTTACTATTAGCTAGCTCTGTTACCAGGATAAGTCTCAGTTTCTTTTTCTGTTAAGACAGAAATAATTGTCCTTCCTTTAGAGGATCTTATAAAGATTTAATGAGACAATGTTCAGAAGAGGACCTAACCAAGAGAAGACATCCAAAAGAGGTTAGCTGTTCTTATTAAGGTGGAAACTACCAGAAGTGTAAACAAGCAGGATGGCATTTGGGTCCTATCTTGACCAAAATATATGATTTTGGTCCATTCATATAACCTCTCTGTTTCCATATATATAAAATGAAAGTCATACCATTTGCCTTATATCCCAGGAATTTCATAAAGATGAAATAATGTCACAGATCTGAAGATTCTTTGAAAAGTGAAAAGCACAAGTTTTACACATCTGTTGGCTGAAAAAGGTATTTGTTGTCAACCTTGTGTGTGTGTCTGTCTGGAAGCTCCTCAAAAGTAGGGAGGAATCTTCTACTTCTTTTGCACCCATTCCATGGTTTCTAATTTAATTCTGTTGCCTGCTCACTGTCCAGTTAGGGCTTGTTCCTCACCCATGCCTGCCTTGTAGACCATGCTCACATAAAACCACCTACCCCTTATGTGTCGGCAGCACTCCTGCCAAGGCAAAGATTCAGCTTCTAGGTCTGAAGGCCTGAGCTGCCCCAAGGAGAGAGGAAAGATTAAGCATCTGTAATAAATGTTCTCCAGGCAGGGAGGGAAAAATCACCTAACACCCTTGTGGCTTTTAGAAAAAAAAAAAAAGAGTAAGAAAGGAGAAGGAGGAAAAAGAAAACGCTGAGCTTTAAACAAGTGGCCGGGCTGTTTGTCATCTGTAAAATGAGGCGATGGAAAAGCACGGAAGGGCAGTGGTCACTGGGTCTGCTTCAGGGATTCGTGCCTCAGACGTCTGCTCCAATGCTCCCGGGCTGCCCATCTGCAATTTCTTTTTCTTTAACAAAAACAGAGAATTCTCACTGGGCTGAAGTTCCCACCTGGCTCAGGAGTTTTCAGACCTGGCCTAGGTGGTCTCTAAGTAAATATTTTCATCCTCACTCACCTCCTCCTGAGGAAAAAAAATCAACTCTTTGCTCAGCTAGAGAAGAAAGCACCCAAACCAAACAGCAGATTATTTGCACCATTGGAACCCTCATTCCAGGGACTCCCGGGAGGGCATGTGGTTTAATTCAGTGTCCGGGCTACTTGTCCATCTTCTAGATGAACCTGGTTAACATGGACCTGGAGAAAAAGCTGGGATGTGTGCCAGAGCACTTTAGTGCCTATACAGATTGGCTCGGGGACTCTCACCACCACCCGGTAATTCTAGAAATCTACCTGCAGGCAAAACATAAAGAAACAGTCTAACCTAAAGGGGAAACAAAGCATCCTTGACTGGACATAAAGATTGAGACCCTTGTGATTTCTCCATAGTTAGCAGATTCAGTGGAGATACTCCTGCTTAGAGCTAATTTCAGGGGCTCTTTTCCTCTTGCATTCATTTGGTGTAAGCTCAGTAGTTTTTTATTTCCCCAGAAAACATTTTAGGTGTTCCTCTATTTGTGCCAGACACTGTGCCAGGCTGCAGGGTTCTAAAGATGCACAAAACACAACCTCTGCCCTCCAGCTCACAGTTCTTGTAATGAAGATAAAAAATCCCGATATACAATTATTAAAATAATAGTTTCCTAGGGTTATTATAGCAAATTATCAGAAACGGGGTATTTAAAACAACAGAATTTTTTTCTCACGGTTCTGGAGGCCAGAAGTCTGAAAGGTAGGTGGCAATAAAGTTGGTTTCTTGCGGGGCTTTGAAGAAGCATCCATCCCTTGCCCTTCTCCTAGCTTCTGGTGGCCACTGGCAATGTGTGATGGTCCTCAGTTCGTAGCTGCAGAGCTCCATTCTCTGTCTGCATCTTCACATGGCCTTCCTGATGCATCTCTGTGTCATGTTTCCTCTCCTTTCTAAATCCACTGGATTTGGGGCCCACTCTAAAACCAGGATGACCACATCCTGAGATCCTTCACTAAATTACATCTGCAAAGACCCTATTTCCAAATAAAGTCATGTTCATAGGTGCTGGGAGTTAGGACTTAACCATATATTCTTGGGGATGCACTTGAATTTGTTACAAAGATCCTATGTGATAAGTGCTATAAATATAGAGACAAGCATGGGATATGACTACAACAGAAAGTATCATGGTCTAATGCAGCTGTAGGGGGCATCAGGGAGACTTTCTGGAGGATGTGATTCCCAAGGGGAGTTTCAAGGATAGGTTGGAATCTACCTACCGGAAGACCTACTTGTGTGAAGCCTTGGAGGTTTCAAAGTGTCATGGTGACCCTATGTTTGACATTTGAATGTCAGTGGGCTCCTCGAATCCCTTTGCTTCTTATCCCTCCTCTCCATCACTATCTATGTGACCCAATAAGGAAGATCAGCATGCAGAGGTGCATTGGCTGGAATTTCAAATAGTACAGCCTCTAGACCACCATGCAGAGAGCTCCTCATTTTGGCCCCACAACCAAACAACACACACAAAAACAACAGCCCAAAGCCACCTCTGCCTTAGCCTCTTCTGCTCTCCTTCTCATCTTCAGACTCTTGTGTGTCTTCTTCTCTTCCTGGGAATCCCAGCCTGTTGTACTAAGTAAACATTCATTCATACTCGTTGGTGGGTGTCATCTGTTTAAACACCTAAATGCATTCCAGGGTAGGTGATCACAGCCTGCCTCTGGGCAGGCTGATCAAACAGAAGAGATGGTGGGAATGGGGAGTCATGTGGAGTTTGTATGAATGGGGTATGTGGAGTATGAGCAGGGTGGAGCGGAAGTAGCTTCATGCCGGAGAGATAGGCAGGAGATAGATCACAGAGAGTCTGAGAAAGCAGATATGCTACAGTGAAACACAAACTGAATAAAGTATGTCAAAACCAAATAGCTCTTGTCCATTGGTGAAAACCAGGAAGAATGTGCTCTTTGGGGACCATCTTGACTCACAAGAAGTTAAGATGTCAGTATCAGAAAAATAGGTAAGGATGGATGGACAAATGGAAAACCAGAAGGACAGAGAGCCTTCCTGAGGTGTGGCTGGCTGTCATTAAAGGCAAAGTTTTCCAGGGTGTGAATTTTATTCTGGAAAGCTGTCTGCAGGTGGATTCAGCTTTCAGACATAAGGCAGAAATGAGTAGGGTTCTTATGCAGTGTCCTTTGAGTCCATTACTGGTTTATAAAGGTTATGTGCTTCCAAAAGCACCTCCCATCTGGCCAGAGGAATGATTTACTCTTCACAGAGTGAACTTGGTCAACAGTTAACCTTTGATGTAAGCTATAAGGGGAAACCTGGTAAGGATATTTTCAACATGTCATTTCCATCCAGTCAATGGAATTATCAGAGCTGCATCTGTGTAGCTTTTTTTTTTTTAATTCCTATTAAACTGCCTAGACCATGAAATTAGACCCAGCAGCACCCTGGTTATAAAGAAATGGGAAGACACGGGATTGGTAATGCTTTTTGGATAAGGATATCAGAGCTTTCTTTGGTATGAAGCAGTTCATGAATCTGTGAACATTAACTACCTCTACCCTCAAGTACTGTGCTTAAATGATTATCACAGCATAGCAGTGGGGACATGGTGTAGAAACACAAAGTGCATTGGAAGTATTTACTCAAAGAAAGCTTTTACCCACCACACCCTGATAAATGTTTTTCAAATGGTCCTTTATCCGAAATAGCCCACCACTCCAAGAACACTATATGGCTGACTCAGGAGGCCACATCCCATGCATTCTTGTTGCCATTCCAAGCTCATTATTTATGTGTGGCTTTGGATGGTCTTCAGAAGATTTGCTGAAGCATTCACACCAATTCAATCCAAAACTTCACTCTTTTGCTGGACCATTCTTTCTGTGACAGCCTTGGCATCCCAGGTCATTTTAGAGTAAAACATCAGGCATATGATCTCCCAAAGAAAAAAAAGTGGAGATAAAATAGCCAGCAGCCCCAATCTTCAACTACTCCTCCTTAAAGACCCTATGGTATTCCATATTAGAGGCTTGGAAAACAACCACACGACTGTCAGCAAACTGCAGGAATTGTACTGGCAAGTTTGGCTTGCGGTAGCTCTGTCTACAGATTGTGTTTCTTGTCTGCCTGCCAAGCCCCAATGTCCCTGATAAATGTAGCACTCAGAGATGGCCTGCAAGAGAGGTAGGTTGTACCATTCAAACCAGAACTCTGGAGAAGATCAGTGAGGCCAGATCTAGAAATAAAGCAAAGATGGATTGAGAACTGGAGAATCAAGAGGATCACTTTGGAAAATCAGGGGCATATCAGTCTGTGATCATTACTTGCACAAAACACAACAGGTAAGCTAATACTAGGGATTGTGGAGATATGAAAAGATATATTATGTGGCCTTTGCCCTCAATCTTTCAATTGATGTGGGGAGCTAATGGACATCATATGGAGGATCATAAAGTGAAAATGTGGTTTAAAAATAGGGCAGAGCTCTTTGGGCTTGGACCTGGTTGGTGGGGACATGGCCAAATGCATCAAGAAGGTTGGAATCGTGGGTAAATATGGGACCCATTATGGGGCCTCCCTCAGGAAGATGGTGAAGAAGATTGAAATTAGCCAGCATGTCAAGTACACCTGCTCCTTCTGTGGCAAAACCAAGATGAAAAGGCAAGCAGTGGGCATCTGGCACTGTGGCTCCTGCATGAAGACCATAACCAGTGGCGCCTGGACCTACAACACCACTTCTGCTGTCACAGTAAAGTCGGCCATCAGAAGACTGAAGGAGTTGGAAGACCAGTAGAAGCTCTACCATTTGAGACGTTGCTAGCCTATAATAAATGGGTTAATTTATATAATAAAATTTATAAAAATAGGGCAGATAAAGGGTTATAATTGTAATATATTAATGGTGAGAATAAGGGAACAGATCATTTCCAATATGGAATAGCTAGAGAAAATACAAATTTTAATTTATTTATTGTGTGTATAGCATTTATTAGTTCTGAGTGCTTGAATGATACTAACTCATTTAATCCTCCTTCGTTGTCCCATGATGTAAATACTATTAGCATTCTCTTTTTAGATGAGGAAACCAGCACAGAAAGGTTAAGTTGCTTGCCCAAGGTCATACAGCTAGTAAGTAGCAGAGCTAGGATTCAAAACCTCCATCACAGGAGGAAAAAGAACTTAGATTGGACTTTGAAGGTAGGTTAGGAAAGCAAGAAGTTAAGAAGGCCTTCCTGTTGGATGGAAATGGCAGGCCATTCCAGGAAGGGAGTGGTATGATGAAAGATTCATCTTCCTCACTCTGGGATGGTTGGTCTTACAGTAAAATGCAGGAGATGTTAGAAAAGAAGGCTTAGAAATAAACTGAAAGTGCAATGATTTGGTCAATACCTGGCTTATTTGTGGCTGTGAAAAATGGAAATGAATGGATGAATTAAAAAGAATCTATAAATGATGAATTAACACAAATTGATAATCAAGTAGATATGAGAGAAAAAGACGTGGGAAGTCAAAGATTTCTCTCATATGTTGACCTAAAAAATGATGGTACCATTAATAGAATAAGGAAGTCGAGATGAAGCTTGGGGTTTAAAAGATCAGTTATGTTTTAGACATTTTGTTTTGAGATGATTGCAGGATTCCTAAACACATGCATCTATTGAGCAATTGCTCAAGTGGGACTTGAGCTTAGGAAAGTGGTCAGGCTTGCGTTTATCAACTAAGGAACCATTAATGCAGAGGTGGGTGCATAAAAGTACTCCAAGGGAAGAATACAAGAGCAGAAGTGAAGGACTGAACTTTGTCCCAATCTAGTTGCTGGAGGAAGCGAATTAATTAATAATGAAATGGATAAAGAGGAATAAAGAAGAAAGTTACAAAAGTTAGCACTGTGGAAATCAAGAGAAGGACATTGTAAGAGAGGCGATAGTAATGTGTAATGTTGCGATGAGGTAATGGAGAATGGAGAGTGAGACAAGAAAAAAAAAACATGGTGACTTCTGAGCAGCCAGTATAAATGGGGTGGTCCGTTTCTTCCTTCTCTGGGCTGAGTGTTGCCTGTTCTGTCAACATTTCCTGATACAGGATGATTTTAAACCTTTCATCCTCAGCAACACAGCATAATGAGAAGAAGATGGCATGGACTCAAATTCAAAGGCTCTGCTGATAAACACAAATTTGGCAGTGAATAGAGCAGGTCATAGCCAAGGGTAGAGCCCTGGTTTCTCATGGTACAAAATTTCCTCCAGGATGTCACAGTCTTTGAGCACAGTTTTTAACCCATTGTGAATCCACTATGGAAACTGTTGAATGTCTGGCTGAAATTAGTAAGTACTCTGGGAGTGGTCTTAACTTACCAACACAGTAAATTTTAGCTTAAAGGTGAATGAAGTTACCATGTTGTGATTTGTTCTTGATGAATAAATGTGGGGTTTTGGTGATCACTTTATTTTTTCAAAGTTTTGGTACCTACAATTTAATCATCTTTTCCAGAATTTTCCTAAGAATTTTAATAAAGATATAAGTTTAAGGAATTAAGTTTTGGTGAACTTGGATATCTTCTGATCACTACTCTTCTGAGGACACTCTCGTTCATTATATAGCATCTCAAAGGTAAACAATAAGATTGCTAAGAGGATATGTGGATTTTTATTTTCAGCAAAATAAAAAAACTTTGCAAAATAAAACTTCTCAAGGCCTGAAAACTTGAACTTGAACTTACAGATGCCTAATAATTCTCTCTCAATCCTGGCCTGAATTCCCTTCTTTATACTGTTTATTCTGTTCTTTTTGATGTGAAGATAATTCTTGCTAGAAAATCTGAAAACCTAATACGAGTTGGGAGGTCTTCCTTTTCTGTTACCCAGCACTGTGGTTCATTTTGACAACTGTTAAATGCCTACTCTGTATGGTTTCTATGGCAGGCTTTGGCGACGTGAAGATCCTACCCGAGACTCACTCCATTCTGGTTTTCAGCTTTCCCAGCAATCAGAAAGTAAATGGTACTAATAATGCATCTTCTGATCCAAATCCATTTTCTGAATTGAATCTTTGGAGATCCAAATGCAGAAAGCCCCCCTAACCACTGAAACTTCTCCCTCCCTCCCCATGGATCCACACAGGTTTTATGAGTTGCTCATCCTCTTTTGTTTTCATTGGGATCATTCCAAACTGAATCACGAATGTCAACTACTGGCATTCCTCAAACTTAGAAATCCCCATTCACTTTAGGAATCCTCCAAATACAGAGTTATTTCTATTAATTTTCTTAATTTCTTGAAGCCTTGGGTACATGTCCAGAAACCCTCATTGTACCTTTAACCTTTCTGAGATAGTTCTCTCAAAATTCCTGGTAATTCAACATCACTTTGAAGGCCAATATGAAGTAGAATGGCAATTTTATCTTTTTCCTTCTACTTTCTAAAAAATGATATAGTCAATGAGGTAAAGGATTATGAGATATTCTAGTTTTAATAGAATCAGACTTCCAGTAAATTTATGAGGAGATAAAGTCCTCATTGTACTGATATCACTTCTGTATTCTGTTACAGTTCTGTTTTAGAAAATAATGTTTAATATAATCTGTATTAAGAAAATATCATCTTCAAACACTATCTGGCTAGATACCCTATAGTATAATGCCACCAAAATAGAACTTTGGATTCTTTTCCTTTATCGCAACTGAAATGCTTTTTACTCTACTTCCCCTCTCAAATCTGTAAGTTTTTGTACAAGCCTGTAACTCCACTATATACAGGCATAAATTCCTCTCCTTTTCCTACCCTTGAAGGCAACATGCCACCCAGTTCCTCTAGTCAGAATTAAAAAAAAAAAAAAAAAGACTTACAACATGTAGGTGAAACTAACTGTGAAATGGACAGATAGGAGGTTTCTGCAAGTGCTCATCACAGCTGTAGTAACAGAAGACAAGCTCTGGAAAGGCATTTGCCTAACAAGGAACTTCAACAGTGCTGAAATGGATTCTGCATACAGCCACCTATGTTTTTAAGGTATTGTGTCTTCTAGAGCCCAATCCCCTAAAGGAATAAATCCAGCCACAAACCTCGATGCTATGTATTCAAAGAGAGGGCCATATCTTCTGCTACGAAACCCACTCCCTTCTCAACGCTCCAGAATTTTTTTTTTAATATTTATTGATTTTACGGGGGTGGGGCTGCAGGTAGAAGGAAAGGGAAATCTCAAGCAGAATTGCCACTGAGCTCAGAGCCCAATGCAGAGCTTGAATCTCATGACCCTGAGATCATGACCTGAGCTAAAACCAGGAGTTGGACACTCAACCCATTGAGCCACCCAGGGGTCCCCCCAGATTTTCTTTTTTTACCTCCACGATACCTACAGACATATCCAGCTGGCTGGATCTTAAATATTTAATTTTTATATCTGTCTTCCCCATCAGACTGTAACCTCTTGGAGGGCAGACTGTGTCTGATTTTTCTATATAGTTCCATCACCCACCACATTATTGATGCTTCTTGAATAAATGGTCTGGTTTCTTTTGTGGGCACAGTTGTGGGAGATGCCCGGTAAAGGTGTCTGGACTTATCAAGAGTGATGCTACTCTTTCAGAGCAACAGAATTATAATATTTGGTGCTTTAACCAGGGCAAGAATTCTGGTCATAAGGATCTAACAATCAGATAGGGTTAATATTGTTATTTTGCCTTTCTCCAAAGGTTAATTTATTGTTCATTCTATCCATAAGCTTCACTATGCAAGTAAATAAATATCTAGGAAATTGGATATGTCTTTTGTATCTCTTAGCATCTTAAATTGAACTGCTTGTTCCTGCTACTGTAGATTTGGCATATAAATGCCACTTGTCATCACCTAAGAAATACTAGGGGCCCATCCCCTTGTTCTGTTGTTTCTTGCCATGTCAGACGTGACATTGTCCATATAATCCTGTTTTGCAGTTTATTTGCACTTTCTTTTCCTCTGTCTAACAAAAATCCTATTTCAACTCTGTTGGTCAGCTTAGAATTGTGCCAAATACATACTTCCAAGTCTCTGTGCAGTATACCCAGAATCTAGCCAGGTCCCTTTTTCTAGTATTACAGGCCACAGCCCAGGAAACTAACATCTCTTCCACACCATCTTTGGCCTTCACATTCCTTATTCATCTTTCTTTTTCCAAAGACCTCCAGCTGGAAGAAGAGATGAAAGCATCACCTGGGTCTTGAGAGTCCCTCTATGGTTCTCTATCCAAATCCCTGAGTGTCTCTAGGGACCCATCTGACCACTCATTCTTTTTTTTTTTTTAAGATTTTATTTATTTATTCATGAGAGACACACAGAGAGAGGCAGAGACATAGGCAGAGGGAGAAGCAGGCTCCATGCAGGGAGCCTGATGTGAGACTCAGTCCCTGGACCGTGGGATCACGCCCTGAGCCAAAGGCAGACTCTCAACCGCTGAGCCACCCAGGCATCCCCTGGGTGCCATTAATTCTTATAGGAGCCAGCAGAAGAGGACAATGGGGTTCAAGAGTGCCATATGCTCTCCACTGTGGTCTCTTGACCAGCTGTAGGTGCCTCTAAAGGGCAAAGTCCAAACTTTACCTGACAGATCATTTCTTCTGAGGGTAGTAATAGGGTTCTTCTATGCAATGGTTCCTACAAATCTCCTGCATTGCTCTTAGAGCCAGTGTAAGGTAATGCCTCTTTATCAGAATGTCTTATAGCATGCTTCACCACAAGAATCTCTTTGGGGGGGGTTCCCCTTTTCTTCTCATTCATATAACTTTAACACCTATTTCCATTCATAAACTCAGCTTATTTT